TCTGTAGTAGATTTTCCTTTTCTAATTCCAGATTGGTCAGAACATATACTAAGTGACATATAAATCCGAACACCCAGTTTAAATGGTTTCATTTTAATAAAAGTTGGTGAATGTATTTATCTTACTGTAAATAACAAGTGAAAAAATGTTCAGCCTTATCAGTTGGACATTCCGGTTTTTATACTGCTTTTTTCTAATTCACTAACGCTCTAAAAATGAATATTTCAGCCGCAGTAAAGAATCAACGTTGGCGGATTTTGGTTCTTGACATCCTTTACGATCGGTTACGATGCCTAGAGTACGGAGACCTGTACGATTTCGTCAACTTAGTGAGTTTGATACTGGCCGTATAGTGGGACTTCGGGAAGCTGGACTTTCTTTTCAGGCAATTGCAGTTAGAGTGCAAAGAAGTGTAGACACTGTGGTTAGGTCTTGTCAGGCATGGCTTCGAGAAGGCCGTACGCAAAGAACAAGGGGCACTGGACGCCGCCGAAGAACAACAGACCGTGAAGATCGCCGCCTAAGATTATTGGCCTTAAGGCACCGTTTCTCCACTACCAGGTCCATTGCAAATGAATGGTTTGCAGAAGACGGAAGACCTGTTGGCATGCGAAGTGTTTACCGACGAATTTGGCTTGTTTTCATACCGGCCACACTGGGTCCTCCCTTTAACTCGAGAACACCGACGTAATCGCCTTGAGTGGTGCAGACAACGGTCACTCTGGGATCAGGAATGGAACAGTATTGTCTTTAGTGACGAGTCTCGATTTTGTTTAGGCATGCACGATGGTCGTGCCAGAGTTAGAAGGCGACGTGGTGAAAGGAGGAATCCACAGTTTTTTGTTGAAAGACATGTTCATCACACTGTTGGAGTTATGGATTGGGGTGCTATAGCTTATGGTTCCACGTCACCTTTAATCTTCATCAGAGGTAACATGAACGCGCAGCGTTATATCCACGAAGTTCTAGAACCCCATCTTTTACCCTATCTTGACACCATGGCAGATCCAACTTTCCAACAAGATAATGCCCGACTACATGTTGCAAGAGTCACAATAGACTTCTTTCAACATAATGATGTCACATTGTTACCATGGCCACCAAGATCTCCCGACTTATCCCCAATTGAGCACGTGTGGGATATGATGGGTAGGAGATTGCTCAATTTGCAACGTCCTCCTCAGGCTCTAGAAGCACTTCGAGAGGAGTTGGTGGTTGCCTGGAATGAGATACCACAGGAGGACATTGACCACCTGATCAGAAGCATGCCTAGGCGCGTTGGAGAATGCGTAGCACATCAGGGTACATCCACACATTATTAAAGGTTAAAGGGCTTTAAAGCAGTGCAATCATTTTGAAATTTTTATCATTTACTTATTATGCTTCATTAAGTACTTATACAAAATTTTATTAAAATAAAACCATTCAAACTGGGTGTTCGGATTTATATGTCACTTAGTATATAATTTTGTTTTTGTCCAAAAATTATAATATCCTTTTTTGTAGTAATTTTTCGAAAATTTTAGCTATATTCGAAAGTACTGAATGGGTCTATAATTTGATGTTTCCATTCTGTCACCGCTTTTATAAACAGGAGTAATAACAGTTGTTCTAAATGCATCAGGACAAATTCCAGATTGGAAACACCAATTAATGACGTAAGAAAGTGGTTCGGCTAAGTCGTAGGCTACTATTTTTAAATGGTCAGCTTTGATACCATCTACACCAGGACTTTTTTTGGGTTTAAGTAATAGGACAGCTTCTTGTACTTCAATCGGACTAACGCTTTCTAAAAAGAATGAATTGGGAAGTTGGGTTTTTGGGAACATGTCGTTCGAAACCTTTTTTTTAGTACTGGATGCTAAATTTTCTCCAACATTAGTGAAAAAATTTAAGAATGCATCGGATATTTGTCGTTTATCTGTTAATAATGTTGCAGATAAAGTTCAGATTTTATTTGTCGATCAAGGATTAGGTTTTGAAATCGAAACATGGTTTCCCTATTTACTTTCAAATTCAAAGTTTGTCCGAAAGTGGATCGCGATTTAATTTTTGATTTGTTAGAGTCAAACGGAAAAAATTAGAAGGTATGCGTATTCGAACTACTGCGATATTATTAAGACATGAGTGGATGACTTACCTTAAGCTGGGCCAGAAAGCAGTGCGCCCTTTGTACTACGGTCATGTGCGCATTCTCGGGTGGTGCCGCCGATCGAGGTCTGAACTCACTCGATTGCCGATCGGTTTCTCTGGGACTGCTTAGCTCTGAAGTGGACTTGCTCAGGTGCCGATGATGCCGACGTTTCCGCGACTTGGGAGATTTTGGAGGTATGGAAGGAGGAGGAGGGGTCTCCAGCAGGTAGGTGGAAGTAACGCTTTGCTCCAAGTCACGTTCTGGAAGAGAAAAAATAGGACTTACTCAAATTATTTAGAGTCCACGTACATACATGGTGTGGCGGTTAAGTTCTACATAATGATTCCTACATTGTTCGTATGACAGGAAGCACCCTTAGCAATTCTCAGAACTTAATCCAATCAGTACCACGATTACAGCTTAGGGTTATACCGCCGTGACGAATGTTACGGAGAGGCTATAACGTAGATACGACAACGTTGGAATGTTTTTTTTTTTGGAGGGAACTACCGCAAGATGAACAAGGAATACGTGAGAATTTTTATCATTACCTTTTTTCAATTTTGTACTTTCCTATGCCAAAATTGGCGAGGAAGTACCTACTGTAGTCGCAAAAATCTTCGAAATTGAGATGTTATGTTTTTTGGATGTTACCTGACATATACATCACGAAAAACCATTTCACTCATTTCTGTGGGTCTGTTTGTCTGTCGCTCGGTCCGCTAATTTCATAACCGCCTATAACTTGAGAAGTATTGCTCGGATTATGATGAAATGTTCACACAAGGTTACTACTATACCAAAGATGAAAAAGCTTCGTAGTTTTTAAAAAATTGGTCTAGTGATGGCGGAGCTACGGGCAAAAACACGAAATAAAAATGAAAACCGCTTGATCCCCTGATCACTTTCGGAAATTTTTTTGTTGAAACGCGGGGATTGGGGTGGTAGGGGGTAGGGGGATGTATATGTTACGTCTTTAGTATTAGTCAAAGACGATCTTTCGTTAAGAAGGGAAAATTAAATGATGAAGGTCCGATGTATTATGTACTCATAATTCGAAATAAATTGCCATTGCGTGCATGGCGCGGAACTCCAAGCGCTACGACTGATAGAAAACATCACCAGTGGCTTCAATCTCCAGGAGGCAACCGGCCTCGTCCTGCTGAGCGTGGAACGAGCCTTCGATCGAGTTTGGCACGATGGACTCATCGCCAAAATGGAAGCCGCCGGAATCGATGCAAACATGTGCCAACTGGTCCAGAGCTATCTAACACAAAGATGGTTCACGGTGAAGATTGGTACATGCCACTCAACAAGACGACAGCTGGAAGCAGGCGTGCCCCAGTGGTCAGCCTTAGCCCCCCTGCTATACAACATCTACACTCACGACGTACCGAAGACAGCTGACACAATGCTGGCCCTATATGCAGACGACACTGCTATAGCCGCCAAGCATCGACACCCAAGATCATCCGTAGGAGACTACAGGATGAACTGGACCACATCCAGGACTGGTGCGTGAAGTGGAAAATCCGCATCAAAGTCCAGAAGACGCAGGCAATCTTCATCCAACGAAGAAGGATTGCAAGACCTCTCGAAGCATCCATCTACGACGAAGATATCCAGTGGAGCGACAAAGTCAAATATTTGGGGATCGTATTTGACAAGTCCCTCACCTGGAAAGTCCACATAGAAGCTGTCATCGCAAAGAGCAGAGCAGCCGTGGCTCAACTCTACCCATTACTGGGTAGACACAGCCGTATGCCGCCAGCGACCAAGCTACGGCTGATCAAGGCCATCGCCAGACCTCAGCTCACTTACGCCTCCGCGGTCTGGGGGTACGCTGCTCCCAGCTACCGCAAGCGACTTGCTGCTCTAGAGATGAAGCTACTCCGGATCGCCACCAGTGCACCATCCTACGTAAGAAACTCAACCTTGCGTAGAGACCTGCATTGGGACACCATTCACGAGTACATGAGAAAAAAAGCGGAGAAGACCTTCCAGAAAGCTCAGGACCACCCGAACGAGCAGCTACGATTCCTCATGGACTACGATCCGGACGAGAGGCATCGCAACCGCAGAACCAGGTACCCTAGACCAAGGTCCCAGTTGGCACCCGCTAACTGGAACCTTGACTAGGAGACTAGGAGAACCCGCGGTTGCTCCCCCCCACCCCCACGGCGTGGATGCAGAGGGCCAGGAACCACCGGGACCAGGACCCACCAGGACCAGAACCCACCAGGACCAGGACCCACCAGGACCAGGACCCACCAGGACCAGGACCAACCAGGACCAGGACCCGCCACGACCAGGACCCACCAGGACCAGGACCCTTCAGGACCAGGACCAGGAACAATATATAGGTAAGAGGACTTGAAACTCTTGATTTTTCGAAAACAAGAGTTTCAAGAGAACCTAGCAGACCCTCTATCGATGATCGCTTAACGACATCGATAGAATGTGCGCGGTAAAGGGAACCAACCCGGCGTTCCCAGAGACTGAAACACATGAGGAGACGTTATAGCAGACCGCAGGTCACGCACAACACATGGCCTACCGAGACGCTGATGAGTCGGGCCACGCGGAGGTTAGGGTTTAGTGGGTATTACGTGGTCTCCTCAAGACAACCTGGAGTCCCACACATGCCGTAGCTCGGGCTATGGTATGGTGCATAAACGCATTCCCCCCTCACCAAAGAAAAAAAAGCGCGGTGCTGCATCGTCGCGTCGTGGAGAGGCCACTGCCGACTGAGCAGCGAGTAACAAAATCCAACTACCTAGATAGCACAGAACATCTTAAAGGCGTCAATCATCTAACTAAACTAAACACGTTTTTAAGATTAATATATTTTGTCAACCAATTGCATTACTTCTAACTATGCTGAAGGACAAGTTGTTAAGTTTTCAGATATCTTTATTTAACGATAAACACCAATTGTCTTTTGCTGGAATCTTTTAAACTTCAAAATGTATCATCCTGTTTTAACTCATCAACTCGCCACCAGATGACGATTAGTCGATTAAAGTGAGCACATCTCTATACCTACCTCGGCAACATCTCTAGCTCGGGTATCTGTCAATGCCATTTGTCATGTGTGTCAGTGTGTTTTGACGCGTAGGACATAGCGTACACAGAAAAAGTACTTTCCTACGTATGATTTTGCATAATTTTCCAGTAGTTTGCCGTGGAAAACAGAAGTAAATTGGCCGTTGTTAACATTAGAAAAAAGTGTAAAATTTGCAACGTAAGAAATATTTTGGATTACAATATTAAATAGTTTATAGAACAAACTGTACCTACTTATTTATTTCAGTGTCTGCTGAAAGGGCTGGTGTATACCAGAGCCAACATGAGGCGAAGCTAGCTAGACGGGGCTTGGCTGAGACGAGCTTCAGATCGACGGACAGCTACCCAGAAAACGTTTGATAACAGAATTTCTTTTTTAATAAAAACATTTTTATAGTCCGCCCATTGTATACTGTAAGAACGTTGGCAAAACGCTCTTATAACAGCTATACAAGCGGAACGAGCACACCTAATAGGACACTTCAGGTTGTATAAGGGCTGCAGGTAACAGTTATACAACAAAGGTGTAAACCTCTTGCAGCCGCTATAGAACATTTGCGTCAGTGCAAGATTCAGTTTTTGTCAACTATACAACTATTAAGTTACATGATTCTACTTTATTGCAACCAAACTATTTCTTATATATTGTATAGGCGAAGTGAAGAATACATAACTAACACATTACAGTCATCTTGTTTACTTACATATCGGCCATAGTAAATTTCATACACAGGTATCTGTGATATAGGTTTGTTGAATTAGTTGCGCAGCAAATTTTATTGTGATTATCGTGCAAAGTAGTTACACATTTTCTTCCACAAATTCAATATTTAGACACAATTACACTAATGTTTATCACCTTATATCTGTAAAGTCGAACTTAAACATAATTAATTAATTTTCAGTAGAGGAATATATTTTTGCCCAATATGGCAGGTGGTTATGTATAATGATGGCATCGTCCATGTTGCCTTTGGTTTATTAGAATATCTTGGTGTTGTCTGCAAGTGTTGTACAACAATTTGACAAATATCTGAAATGAAATACGGACAGAGTCGAATGATTTACCCAGAATTTGTTCCAGATCGATATCTCCTGTTTAAACAGTTGATAAAGCCTTTCAAACCAATATGCATGTCTTAAAATATCGGTTATGACATTCTAACTAAAAAGATGACATCAGAATGTTAGGTTATGGTGAAGTTGTATACCAACATACTTAGCAACAAATGTATGCCGAGCACAGCAATTTTGTACCATAAAAGTTGTAATATTGTCGCAGATGTACTGTCTTTAATAGTTAAAGTAGTAAATGTGCACACCAAAACAACAAGGCGCGGGTTTGTTGTATAAACGTTACCATGGATGCCGAAACACAACTATTTTGACTACCGCGCACATATGCCATATAAAATAGTTGTATAAACGTTTATGCAACCATTCAAAATTTGTCCTATAAGGTGTTGTATAACTATGCTATAAGAATATTTTAAACACCTCACTATAGTGCAAATATGCTGCAGAAAGCAAACTTGCATTCCACACAACATTAAGCCAGCATTTTGGTGTTCAGGCAACAACAATAGAGAGCTTTTATGGCTGAACAGTTCTTTTACCAAAAGCTTATAGCACTACTTTGCTAGTTGGGGTACGTATTATAAAGACGTCTGTAAGATGCACAGTTTTTGTAACAAACGTCGTCTTTAAGATATCGTACAGCGTTCACAAGACGTGTCCTTACAACGTAATATCTCAAAATGACGCCTTTAAGATATAGTTGTGCTATTTGGGTAGTGACTCTGCGGTGGTGTCGTCACTGACACACAGTTACAGGAGAAACATTTACGTTTTAGCAATATCTGGACATTATGAGTACATACGCGTTATGTGATACTTTTTCAAATGTTGACTTAACTGTTTTCATATAGTAACTACAACTACAACTGATGTAGTCATCGTTCTTGGCGGGTCAAAGTAAGACTACCAGTAATATCTCTTTATATATCTCTATCTCCCTCATACATACACATGCAACCTACCCCTGTGTGTGAACGTTTGTTCGGTGGGCTCAAAGGCATACGTTTTTTAGTTGTGTGCCTTCGTCTTGACGTATGAGTGCCCTTCTATCACATTTGTCAAAGTGAGCACTTATTTGACATCGGCGTGCAATTCGAGTTGTCCTGTTATCAATCTTCAATATGAGATTGAACATTGTCCAGAAATACGATCAATGGAGACAGCTCGTGATAAATTTATTGGAGTATTTCCAGGAGGAGAATGAAAACAGCGGTCCCCTGCGCGTTGACGACGTAACCACCAAGAAAGGTGACTACAACTATATCTACACATAGATTATTCTGAAAATTATGATCCTTAAGTGTAACTCGCATTTCGCCTAACTTTTAATCTGTGTTAATCCATCTATGCCGGTTCGCTGAATATTTCGACAAGCAGATTGACTCAGCACTTATGACGCATTGGTATATAACAGACAAGAACTAAACAACCGACATAAATGAGAAGCACGGACTTGTGTAATTCAGATACCTTTAGGCAACCGATGTTCGAATACTATCGCAAGCTTAATAGCAGTTTGTGGGCCTCTCTATGAGTTGTGGACCTCGAAATTCTCCTTCCAACAGCGTCATTCCACAGAGCACTGTACCGCGATAAGTCTAACAAGTTTCCAAAGTTTCATTTCCCAGAATTAAGAAATTTAATTATCAGTAACCGAATTTTCTCACTAATAACCTTTCCTCTACCCATTTTGAAAACCTTAGCTACCGAAAAATATTTTCAACGTATTCTGACAGCTGTGATTAATAAAAACAATTGTCATGGCTTTTATTTTTCACAGCCACCTATGCGTTATAGACTTATTTTGCATTGAAATGAAAATTGGTTGATATGCTGTAATTGCAACATGTGTTATTTTTATGCTGCAAATTTGATTAGGGAGTGATAAAGTTGATGTTTTCTACTATATATTATCAAAATATTTATTGTTAATATTTTAAACCTATAACACCCGGCTATATTTTTATTATTTGTGTTTGATAAGAAAAGAATTAAGATTTCAATAGTTGGGCCAACTGAAGTGGGAAGGGGCTCGTAGTCAGGCTTGATCTATACATACACTGCGAACCAAATTTATCTGACGACTTGAGTTCAAAGTGTACGAGACAGAAGTGTGTATAGACGCATATATTAAAAAGAGATAGAGGCCTACAAGAGAGAAGTGTTCACAAAAAAAAGAAATAGAAGCCGCCTGGCCATCAAAGCTCATCACCGCGTTGCCCTGCAACGCTGACGCTTCAATCTGTGTGCAATATTTAACGTAGCTAAGTACTCGTATATTGAATACCATGAAGGTCATAGAGATCAACTTCTTTTTTTTGATAATTCAAAAAACTTTGAGTATTGCAGAATTTATCAATACACCTTCTTTCATATGCTTTCCAATATGTCATTTTTCAGCTGAAAAGTGGAGTGAGAGATTTTTTGCATCTAACTTAAAAGTATAGCCCATATTTTTAGCAAGAGCTAGGTAACGCCTATGCACTAAAAGTGTACCATAAGACATTTTTTTTCATATAAATCTCACCCTTATTAATAAAAATATCAAGCAAATCGTCTAATGTTTATTTTGCAAGACAGAAGAATGATGATACAAGTTATGGAATCCTGTTGGTAACATAACTATGTGGTACAAGCCCATTATTCCAACAAATTGAATTGTATGGCAAGCAAGCCCATTAAGAAATATTTGCTTTTTACTTCTTTTTTTTTCGATACAGCTCTGTTATTTTTCCTATAAAGATTAGAATTATACTAAGTGACATATAAATCCGAACACCCAGTTTAAATGGTTTTATTTTAATAAAATTTTGTAAAATAAGTACTTAATGAAGCATAATAAGTAAATGATAAAAATTTCAAAATGATTGCACTGCTTTAAAGCCCTTTGACCTTTCATAATGTGTGGATGCACCCTGATGTGCTACGCATTCTCCAACGCTTCTGATCAGGTGGTCAATGTCCTCCTGTGATATCTCATTCCAGGCAACCACCAACTCCTCTCGAAGTGCTTCTACAGTCTGAGGAGGACGTTGCAAATTAAGCAATCTCCTACTCATCATATCCCACACGTGCTCAAATGGGGATAAGTCGGGAGATGTTGGTGGCCATGGTAACAATGTGACTTCATTGTGTTGAAAGAAGTCTATTGTGACTCTTGCAACATGTGGTCGGGCATTATCTTGTTGGAAAGTTGGATCTGCCAGGGTGTCAAGATAGGGTAAAAGATGGGGATCTAGAACTTCGTGGATATAACGCTGCGCGTTCATGTTACCTCTGATGAAGATTAAAGGTGGCGTGGAACCATAAGCTATAGCACCCCAAACCATAACTCCAACAGTGTGATGAACATGTCTTTCAACAAAAAACTGCGGATTCCTCCTTTCACCACGTCGCCTTCTAACCCTGGCACGACCATCGTGCATGCCTAAACAAAATCGAGACTCGTCACTAAAGACAATACTGTTCCATTCCTGATCCCAGAGTGACCGTTGTCTGCACCACTCAAGGCGATTACGTCGGTGTTCTCGAGTTAAAGGGAGGACCCAGTGTGGCCGGTATGAAAACAAGCCAAAACTTCTCATTCGTCGGTAAACACTTCGCATGCCAATAGGTCTTCCGTGTTCTGCAAACCATTCATTTGCAATGGACCTGGTAGTGGAGAAACGGTCC